ACTGCTGGATCCACCTTCCAAAAATGGCTCAAGCCCAAATGACAGAGAAGCAACAAAGGCATGCAAAAGAAACATCCTGTACCTACATAATCATGTGACACTTGATACTGTTCCTGTTTAGTGCTAAAATTCAAGCTCATCCTTCATGGTGTGTGAAAGCCTTACAGCACAGGCTCAAGAGCAAATTAATTAGGCTAAATTTATTTCAGACGAAGTCTAAACTATCAAATGCTTTTATGAGCAGTCCTACTTATGACGAACTGATGATTATCAGAATCTATACTCCAAAGGGTTTCCAATGGCTATGACCTTCTGGAAATACATCATCAAGCTTTTCTCTTGAGGGTTTTTGTCATTTTTTCTTGTACAGCTCACGGAGTCAGAACCAACCCATAGCCGACCCTGCAGAAAGTTTTCAGAGACAGTAACTTGCACTGCAGGAGACTGTCCATCTTTCTCTAGCGAAGGAGCTAGTGGATTCGAACTATGTACCTTAGGCTTGGCAGAAGTTCCTTTCCTCTAAGCCACCCAAACTCCCAGGTAGATGTGTCTGGACAGATTCAAATCCCCAAGCACCAGTTGCTCCTGAGGGCTTAATTATTTGTACCACTCAGACACTGACTCCTTATATGAAGTTGTTACATGCTTTTAAGTTAGAACCAACTCATAATTGACCCTCCAACGGATTTTCAGAGGCTGTAAACCACACAAGAACTATCCTGTTTCCCTCAAGGAGCACTAGTAGATTTGAACCATCAGGCCACCAGAGCTGTTTGCTGATAAGTGTATCCCACTAAAATAAATAAAGAGAACTCTGGTGGCCTAGTGGGTAAGGAAACATGCTGCCAAACCAAAGGTAGGCAGTTTGAACCTACCAGCTACTATGAGGGCTCTCCCCATCTCCTCCTGCACAACTTACAGTCTCTGAAAACACACTACAGGGTTCTTTCTTGAGCTCAGTGAGCTCACATTTGAAAAAAATAAAGAAAGCCATAGAATTGAAGAAAAAATTCAAAACTAAATGCATCATCATGAACAGCTTATACTTAACAGTCAACCATGCTTCCAAAAAGCTCATAAACATTAATTTAAAAATTTTTCACAATCTATAAAATTTGTCTGTCCCTCACAATACAGGAAATTTAGGTACAAAAACTACTCTCCCAAGATCACACAAGCTATAAGGAGTGTTACCGATGATGTTTGTCATCAAGTTGATAGCCACTCACTGCTTGACCTTTCAGCAGGATTTAGAGGCAGTAAATAGAGCAGGAGGAGAATATTCTATATTCTATTTCTTCCTTCTTAACTGTACGCCTATAACTAACCACATCACTTTTATCAAAGAGCAGTTAACAGATTTTCTTTTTCTGGTTTTTTTTCCGACTAACAGATTTCTTGTTACTGCTAGCTGTATCTTGAGAGGCTATTTCAACAGCAGCTGACAAGAAAATGGCATTTTATTCAATAGTTTTAAGCAGTTAAGCACAAGAAGTTTTAAGTCCAGAGTCCTATGAACGTCATTTATCATACAATCATATGACCCAATTAAATATGTCCAACTATAAAAACATAAGCTTTATTACAAACAAGTTTTTACAGGGATATCTACAACTAAAACTAACAAAACAGCTGGAGAAAATTGGCAAACAGTCATCTTGAAATATGGGTTTTAAGGCTCAGCCAAACTAAGGACTGCAGTCCAGTAGATAGATAAATTTGATTGGACAAATTAAGTAAATTAACTCTGCACCTCTATCCAACACAGTCCTCACAACCTCAAAGGGTTGACCCTACCCTGTGCATGACAATGTGCCCCTTTTCCAAAGGATGGCCTAATGGGTAAAGAGGGTTGTGCTGCCACCTAAAAGGCAAGCAGTTCAGTTTTGGGGAAGGGTAGAGGGGACAATCTCCTCCCATGCAATTTAAGCCTTGAAAATCTGCTGGAGGCTTGGTTTTAGTGTTGTATGTTTTATACCTGTGGTAATAAAAACATTTAATGATCTGCCTAGTGCAAGCTCTCTGGTATCAACTCTCACAAAACTGTTTTTCTTTTTCCTTTAAAAACTTAAGTTGCTGTTAATGTTAAGTATCACCACAGTAGTCTCCAACCTGCCCTTACCAGTTCTTTACCGAACAATTCTGGACTCCTCGCCCTTCTGCACTTGGGAAGATATGGGCACAAAGTACATGTTAATGCTCTCTCTCCCTCCCTTTTGATATTTAATGCCTTTTTAATGTCAATGTTATATATGAAATGACATAAATTCCCATGGAAGTCTTAAAATGCCAGTGTTTCTGCTGTATCTAACTGATCACTCACATATTCTTTATATAAATAACACTAAAGCAAATAAAACCCAACAAATTATCCCTAACGTAATCAAAATGTGTCAAGTCAGAAATTTTCTGTAGTAATAAGATAATAAATTAAAAAAAAGCTTCCTTTGTCAACTACTCAAGACATGACTTATATTCCACTACTATAAATGAACAGATGGTTTTTATTCAACAGGTTGTCCTCCAAAAGGGTCTATTAATCCCATCTCCTTTTAACAAGTAGCTCATTTCAATTAAGCTCCTCCTGCACGGTCTACTATCTTGAAAAGTTCCCAGTACATATGAAGCAGTTATTTCTTATTCTCTTAGCAGTCATGTTACCATAACCATGTCAAAACCTTAGTCAGGTGCAAAGAATAAATAAAAGCACCAAAAAGATTCCTGACATATCAAAAAAGTTACTAAACTATTGAACACTTATTTGGAATAGGCAAGGCATCCACCTACAATCTTCCCAAAAGGCCACGCCATTTGCCACCAGGGTCTCCCAAATAAATAATCAAAAAGAATCTATGGGGGGGGGAAATACATAAAGTTACAATAGCTATGCAGTAATTCTTAAGCCATACACAAATCACTTTAAGTTCCTGAACAGTAAGAAAAACTTCCTCTACATATTTTTATTTCCCCATACAAATGTAGTATTTTTTCCCGTAACAGTCCTAAACTTAACTACTCTAACACTAAAAATAAAAACAAAACTTATTTATGAAGCTAACGATTGTCATTACGTACATCACATGGTGCAGGGTAGCAGAATCAGTTTTCATTAAAAAAAAAAAAACACCACAAACCAACGCTCCAAACAACCAGGAAAACCATCATTTAAGAGGAAAAGTGAAGAGCACGTAGCAAACGCAGGCCTCCCTGCTCTCAGCCATTCTTTAGCTCTCGGCCACCCCTCCTCCACAGGGAGCTATTTCTAGAACTCTCCACGATAATTCAGGCGGCTTGCTAGAAACTCCCATGATAAAATCCAACAGAAACTCTGTGTTCACGGAGACAAAGCTGCCCTACACTTCCCTAATCTAGAAAGTCAGGATGGTGAGAACAGTTCCAAGAATTCAAAACTAAGATACACTCCAGCGCTGCGTCTTATTTAGCAAAAACTAAAATCCAATCACTGGATCTCCAAGTGTGACTAGGATATTTATCCCAAGTCGTTTTAGAGAAGTAGCTGAAAACACGAGGGCCTAATCTTATCCAATCTGGAGTCTTTAGAGAGAAAAAAAAGGGGGGGAAGTTTAAGGAAGATGATTACTTAATTATACAGCTAAAGGAGAAGGGTAGATAAAACCATTCAGACTAAAAATAACCCATCATTTCACTCACCATATTTTATTAACAAGCTTGTTTGGATTAGCATAAGGTTCTTGTTTGGAAAACAAAAATACCAACAGTAAACTTCCCTAAATCATCCACAAATTACACAGGTCCTAATGCAGGTAGGTGATGTCTGACCAATTCAAGACTTAAAACACTGAGAAAATTCAACTTTTAGTTGGTCTTGGTCCCAACACTTCTCAGATTACAATATTCTACGGAGTATTATTAGTAAGTAACCAAACAAAGGGAACATTTTTTTCCCCAAAAAAAGCTTTACCAGTCCTAAATTTTACACTGAAGTACACCATTTTCACAACACAATCTCGGTTGGCCAGTGAGAAGATATGCCTATTTCAGCAAATTAGGAACTTCCAAAAATGGTGACTATGCTAGCACATGCAGTTTCCCCCCAAGCGGTCAGCCAGGATTCCTCTCTCACTTAAATAAAAGTAGACTAAAAAAAAAAAAAAAAAAAAGACCTCGGTGGCAAAGAGGAAGTTACCAAAGAAACCACTCGCACAACGTGGCCTTCACAGTCAATCTCCTACCACCCAAAACTTACCAGGAAGCAGGCAATAACTTTGCCAATTGTACACTTCTGGGCCCAATATCAAAGAGGCACCCTCAAATCGCCCCTTAAGACGCTAAAAAGCACGAAGTTCCAAAGAAACACGTCCCAGGAGGAAGGCCCCGCGGCTGGCGCGCCCTTCCCCCGGCCTGCGCCCCCGCCCAGGACCCGCGGCCCCAACAGCCGCCTGCAGTCCCCCGCAGTCCGGCCGGGGGGCGCCCGCAGGGCCAGGGCCGCCTGGGGAGGGGACAGCTTCCCATTGCCGCCCGACATGGAACAAAATAACATACACCCGAGGAGCCTTGGCCTCGGCTAAAAATAGGCTATAAAGGAGTCGGCCTCGTGATGGCTCCTTGATTCAATTTGCTGCAAATTCGTTCCTGCGGGCCTCCCCCACCAGACACAAAAAGGGGGTGTAAATGCACGAAGGGTGGAAGGAGGGGGAGAAGGCCCAGGTGGACATTTTTTGGGATAACATAATCAGGGTGAGGATTTCCCGAGATCCGGAGAGGGTCGGGGGTGGGCAGGTACTCGAGCACTGCAAAGAAGTCCGAGCGAGGGGAAAAGGAGGGGGTGGGGGCACCCTAAATGCCCTTCCTGCCCCTCCCCCACCGAAGCCCCAGCTCCCCGAAGGGCCAAGTTGAAAAATGCATGTGCCTCGGGCGCCCATCCCCCCGCCGCCCGGCGCCCACCGTCTGCCACCGCCTGCGCCCCCCGCCCCGGCCTGCGACCGCCCCCACCCTGGGGTCCGGCCCTCGCTTCTTACCTGGACACCGTGGCCTCCAACGCCGCTCCCCCCTCCCGGGAATGGAGGCACAAGGAAATTACCCTCACCGCCGCCGCCTCCAACCACCCCCAAAATAACCCCTCCGGGGGGTGAGAAGCAATTATAACCCCAGCGAACGGAGGGCGCGGGTCCCCAGGTGGCGAGCGGAGGTGCTCCCGCCGCGGGGGGAGGGGCGGGGGCGCACGCGGCCGGCAGCGAGGGGGGGGAGGCGCGCGCGGGGGAAGGGCGCGAGCGGGGAGAGGAATTGAGGCAGAAGGTAAAAGCTGTTACTAAGGGAAAGAGCCAAACGGTTCGGAGCAGCCAACGGCTCAGACACTCAACACTGGGGAGAGACAAGAGAGGACCAGCCAGGCACAAATGAGCTCTCGAGGCCCGCGGCGGCGGCGGCCGCGCAGCAAAACAAACCCGAGCGGCCTGCGCCAGGCGGGCGGGCAGGCGGGCGCGCGGGGGAGGGGCCAGCGGGGGAGGGGCGCCGCGGACGCGGGGAGGAGGCGGCGGTGAGGGTGAAGCGAGGTGGGGGCAGGGTGGGCCTTCGCTCGCCTCTCATCGCTCCCCTCCCCACCAGCTGCTTCGGCGCTGGGGGCTGGGCGTGTGCAGCGCATTCTTTTGAAAATAAATAAAGACCCGCAGGCTCTCCGAGGCGCCCCTCCCCCACCGCTGCGCGCTGCCTGGGTGCTGGGCGATTAGGGTGTTGGCCGCGCAGCCCAGGCCCGAGTGGGGCCGGGGAGGCCCTGCTGCGGCCAGTGTGGAGCTGCCGGTGAACTTGACGGGGAGACCGGCGGGGCTCTCCTGGTGTAGAGAGGCCTGTCCTCGCAGCTCCGAGTCTGTTCGGCCAGCGCGTGGTAGAGGCCGCTGGCAGCCGTGGACATCTGTTTGTGTAAAACCTGTAAACACCTTTGTGTGCATAAATATGTTTCTCAGGAGCTTACCTGAAAATGCGGTTTATTGGTGTAATAAGTCATTTTTAAATACATTCCATCTACAGCATCAGACCTAGACAGAAAAAACACTCAAAAGATTTTGACACTAAACACAAAGCTGTAATTCATGGCCAGATGTATTGTGAAACATGGTGATAGCTATCTTCTGGTGGGCCTATGTAAAAATACTTGGTCAATCAGTTCTCATTTCACAAAAATAAAATAATGCAACTAGATGTTTACTAAATACGTAACCTCCACAGCGGCCTCGATAGTAGAAGTTTATCCACTTTGTGTAATTTCTGCTTGCTGTACAGCAGCACATTCAAGGCATTTTATAAAGTATAACTTTGATGAGTTATAGATATTGTGACAATATGATTGAGGACCTGGAGTGCAGTGTGTTGTTTTGAAGAGAGGTGCCTCACAGTTTTTAAAGCAAATGTGGTAATCTAAGGCTCTCAGAAAGCAGGGTAGTGTGGAGATTGTCCAGTGTTCTTTCCTACTCATGGATCTTACATACACAAAACAACACACAATGTCATCCTCACAGATAGTCGCTGTAATGTTTGAGCCCACTATTGTAGACACAGCCTCAAGCCATCTTAAGGAGAGTCTTTCCCCACTACCTTCTGTTAATCATGACGTCCTTCTCCAGAGACTGGTCCTTCCTGATAAAAGGTCCAAAGGATGACAGGAAGTGTGAACATCCTCTCTTCTGAGGAGCATCCTGGCTGCACTTCTATCACAGATTTGTTCTTTTGGCAGTCCATGGTATATTCAATATTATTCACCAACACCTTGATTCAAAATCATCTATTCTTTTTAGGTCTTCTTTATTCGCTATCCAGGTAAATGAGGTAATTAAAAATATCTTGGGTTGGGTCAGGTACTCCTTAGTCCTCAAAGAGACATCTTTGCTTTTTATTTTTTTTATTATTATTAAATTGTATTAGTTTTAATGAACATTTACAGAGATTTTGGGTTTTCATTCATTCATTGTTGCACCATTTTCTCTACCCTCCTCCCCAGTTTGTTCTTCTTCCCCCGCCATCCGAATGTCTGTTTTAATTGTCCAATTGCCACAGTGCTTGTCAAAGTCAGTTCTGATTAATCTCCTTTGTCAGTGTGTCCTTTGCCATTCCCTATCACTCCTCCCTGAGAGAGACTTCACCCTGATTAATAAGGAAAAGGGGATGGCGCATTCTCTTAGCTACTTCCTGCTGAAAAGGGACGCTATGGGTTTCAGGGTGAAGATCTTCTCTCACTACTCTAAAGGGCCCCTTTGGCAGTAGGAAACACATAGACTATTATAGAGATTGATTTTGGAATTCAGATGCACTGTTATTAATTGTGCTTAGCCGTACATGTTCATATCCTTGAAGATGTATCATGGGGGTGTTGCAACCTAGAAGACACAAATTTAACTAACAAGTAATAAGTACATGAGTCAAAAATTATGGAAAAGTAAAAGAAAAGATTCTTTCATTGTTTTACAAACCCTCCCCCAGGTCCCCTCCACCATGGAGCCATCGCTCTAGACTCCTGTGATGACAGAAATACCTAGTCACATATCTCTTTTAAACAGTTTTCTCCCTCCTCTGTTTCAGTGCAGTATACATTATTGAACCCATCTTACTCAGTCTCTCCCCAACCCCGAGGTTAGTCCCATTCTACAACAGTGGCATCATGTAATATTTGTCCTTTTGTGACTGCGATATTTCACTCAGCATAATGTTCTCCAGAGTCAACCATTTATGAGTTCCTTGTTTTTCAATGCAGCATAGTATTCCATTGTGAGAATATACCACAGCTTCTCTAGCCATTCATTTGTTGATGGGCACTTAGGTTGTTTCCAACTCCTTGCTATTGTGAACAAAGCTGCAATAAACATGGGTGTGCATATATCTGCTTGGATGTCAGCTATGGTCTCTTCAGGGTATATTCCCAGTAGTGGAATTGCTGGGTCAAATGGTATCTCTATTTGCAACATTTTGAGAAAGCACCATACTGCTTTCCACAGGGGTTGCACCATTTTACACTCCCACCAACAGTGAATCAGGGTTCCAGTTTCTCCACAACCTCGCCAGCATTTGTTGCTTGCTGTTCTGTTAAATTTTGCTATTTTGACTGGGGTGAGATGATATCTCATAGTTGTTTTAAAATAACTCTAGTAAGTTGTTTTGCAGATTTGCTCGTTGCACTGTATCTTTGATTTCTTGTCTGTTGCTTCCCTGGGTGTTGACTGTGAATGAATCTGAGGCAAATTAAATGCTTGGCAATTTCATTATTTTCTCTTTTTGTCATGATGTTGCTTATTTGTCCAGGTTTAAGAATTTTTTTGTTTTCTTTAGGTTCAGATACAATCCATTGAGACCGTCCTCTTTGCTCTTAAACAGTGTTTCTCAACACTTCTTTAATTTCAGCAAGCAAGGTCATGTTATCTACATACTGCAATTGTTACTAAATTGTCTTCTAATCTCCATGCCTCGTTCTTAATACGGTCCTATTTCTGAGGTTATTTGCTTAAATACACTTATTGAATTGTTGTTAAGTGCTGTCGAGTTGCAGGCGACTCATAGGAACCCTATGAAGGAGAGTCCTCAACGCTTGGGTGTCTGTCATCTTCTCTGCAGGTTCATAGGGTTTCCAGAGGCAAGGTATTACGGAAGTGGATGCCACTCCTTCTTCCAAACTGACTGAATAAGTATGGTGAAATAAAAGGCATACCTTTCTTGATTTTAAACCATTCAAGATCCCATGTTCAGTTTGAGTTTGACTGTACATCCATGTATAGGTTCCTCATGACCACAATTAAGTGTTCTGGAATTCCCATTCTTCGCAATGTTATCTATTTTTATGATCAACACCATCAGATGTCTTTACATAGTCAATAAAAACCAAGTAATATATATATATATATATATATATAATCTTCTTTCACCCAAAACCTGTCGGATATGAACAAAAATATATTCCTCCTTCCATGATAGCTCTTTTAAATCCATCCTGAATTTCTCATGTTCCCTGGCATGTACTGCTTCAACTAATTTTGTATTATCTTCAACAAAAACACTGAAAGTAAGGAGGGTACAAAACACTTGCTGCATGGACTATAGCCTTCCGTATATACTACATCACAACATCAAGAAAACAAAGGTCTTGATCACAGATCCAACAGTCAACATTATGAGAGATTGAGAAAGGATTGAAGCTCTCAATGATTTCATCTTGCTTACCAGCAGTCAGGAAATCAGGAGACATTTTGTATTTGGCAAGTACACTGTCAAGCATCTCCCCAAAATGCTGAAGAGCAATGATGTCTGTTTGAAGATTAAGCTGTGCCTGATTAAGACCATGGTCTTTTCAATCACTTACTGTGCGTCAGAAAACTGGACAATAAATAAGGCTGTCAAAGAAAGAATTGATGTCTTTGCATTGTGATGCTAGAGAAGAGTACTAAACATCCCATGGACGGGAAAAATAGCAAATAGTTACGCCTTGGAAAAAGTGCAGCCAGTGCGTTCTTTGGAGGCAAGGATGGAGAAGTTTTGTCTTTCATACTTTATACATATAGCTAGACAAGGCTGTTCCTTAGAAATGGACATCATGCTTGGAAAAGTGGAGGGTTAGTGAAGGAGAGGAAAAACTCCCCAAACAGATGGAGTGGCAATGACTTCAGCAATGGGCTGTAGTGTCAAAGATGATAAGGATGTTACAAGATAGGACAGGGTTCAAGTTAGCTGTTCATGGGGTTGTTCTGAGTCATACTTGACTCTGTCACAGCTAACAACAACAAAATTGTACTTGCTTTTGATGTTGTTAAATATTTCCCACACTTTGTCTTTCTTTACATCTGTCTTTGCAAAAATAGCAAATATAAGGTTTTTCAATCTTCCTCTCAATATGAGACCTAATTAACATACCTCATGAAAAGTGTAATTTGAAGTTACCTTTATATAATGTAGTGGAGTTCTCAGGGAAGTTGTGCTGCAAACTCAATGGCCGCACCTCTCTGGCAGCTTAAATCTACCAGTGCTTTCTAGAGAGGAAGATAGGCAAGCTTCTCTCTTAGGACTTACAGCTTTACAAATCCAATGGAGAGTCAGTTGTGAATCAGTTCCAACTATATAGTAATGGGTTGAGAGTATTTGATGTACATGAACTTTTGGATGGCCTCAT